TTATGATTAATAATCTACAAATAAAAACATGAAAGTATTTAAATCATATAATAACACAAATAAATACAGGAAAAATGCTTTTATAGTACTTGAAATAAATGGATGATGATGAGAATAATACCCACCGCAGTTTATCGGAAATTAATCATTGTTCTTTATACTACGAAATGATGTGAAGGATGATTTATTCATTAAAACAGCATATGGAACAAGAATGAAATAGAAAAAGATGATGATTTTGTATGTGATAAGATAAAAAAGGTGTGCTTATTCCGTGCACTTTTTCTGTTTTTGGCTAAATAAATTTATTGGATGAAAGTTTTTAACTTAATAAAAGCCAAATGCAATTTACTTTTGACATTTCGCATTTCTATCCTCATTTTTTTCGAACAATTTATGACCGTCGAAATACTCACTACTGGGATACTCTCTTAGCATAGAATAAGTGACTATTTCTTTAATCGTAAGAGAATAAAGCTACATTTTGCTTTTTATTTTTACAGTTCAAAATTGTCATTCAATGAATTTACAGTACTAAAACAAAAAGTACACGAAATAAGCACACCTTTATTTTTTCATCTGATCACATTCCAATTATGTTGCTACTTCTAGACTATATTTTTTATTTTTTTTCCTTTGATGATTTTACATCCATTTTGACTGATCGTTTCGCAAAGCTACCCTTTACTTTTGAAAGTGCATACTATGATTAGTTCGAACTAAACTGTTTTTAAGTTAGATATGAAATTATGAATCAAAAGAGACGCATTCTATGTTGAACTAGACAAATAATTTTAGTAAATTGTCGCTACAATACAACGAAATGTTGCGACATCTATAAACAAATCGAATGATATCGACTAATTAATCGCTGTATATTCAAAACTTGTGTCGTAAGCGAATAAATTTCAATTTATACGCGGATCAACTTAAAGTATTTCGTTTATTTGAAAATTTCACATCACATGCCGAGAGAAAAGAGATGAAACAGAATTTTGAACAACAAAAAATAACAGTAGCACCAAGTTTGTATATAGGACTAGTAGAAAGAAAACAGACAAAATAACATCTGACAAGTTGCTTTCGAAGAGATAAAGTGATAATAATCATCAATATGGAAGAAAAGTAAAACCTAATACAAAATGTAAACAAAGAGAGAGCAGAAGAATTAACAAAAAAAAGACTTAATTGAAAACAATAAATAAACAATCTGCGCAAGTTAAGATGAAGCATATGATGTCTCTATTTCAAATTGTGACTGAACATGATTTAAATTAACGAAGTCAATATTTGTAAATATTTCTTGTTGTGATGGTTGTATTGTATCTTCTGACGGTACTATTTGCTGTTTTTCAATTATTTTAGAACTTTGATCTAATGATGAAGAACAAAACGAAGATGTTGAAGAAAGTAAAGAGATTTTTTTTGTCGTTGGAACAGATGGCGTTTTATCATCCTGAGTCTTAAAAATGAAAATAAAAAATTGTTTAACATTTTGATTATCTTACGTGGAATAGATATTATGTTCAATTAATTCAAACAAGATTTTCACCTGAGCAAATACCAGACTAGTGTCGAAGTTGAGAAAAACCATCGTTGTTACAAGATCACACTCTAATTAATCAGCAAGGGAATTTGCATATATCAAATTTTTGTGTTACAAACAATTGTATATTACATCTTTCTAACATAATTATCCAAAAATCTAAAATCTCAATTAAACATACTTTGACAGTTTTTGCAAATAATGTATCGTATATTCGTTCTTGATCTTTCATTTGTTTCTGTTTTTGTTTTTGTATTGTTGGATCAATTACTTTAGGCTTTTTCACAGTAACTATTGGTTGTTTTCGTGGTTTAATTATGACTGGATGATATTTATTTGATTTAACTTTTATTTCTGGTGCATCTTTTCTACGAATTGTACATTCATAATTAGCAAAACGTCCTTTTGGCCATTTTTTTGCCGCATTTGTCGATTCAATTTTGTATAATTGACTTAATAATGGATTAGTTGAATGATCAACAAAATTTTCAGCTAATGAATAACTGAATATTTTCTGTGGTATCTTAGGTAATCTCTACAAAAAAAAAAGAGAAAATTTATTAAACCCAAAAAAACAAATTTATCACGATTTACATACCGATAAAAACGGTCTTGATGTTGATTTAAATGCATGTTGTTGTAGTCTTTTAACAGTGTGATGATGAGTAGGAAGTTGGGACATGATAGTATCTAAAATAGGAATCGAACACAAAAGTAAAATAAAAAAGCGAAAGTATCTATCTTTACTCTTGCTTAGCTATAGAATTTTACACAAGTATGCAGTTCTTTATGTAATATGTTTCTTTTTTTGATTATATGATGATCGGATCAATTTTTACAGTTAAGGATTAAAATTTATCCAGTGAAGGATTGCGAAAATTATTACGTTAGGTATAATTCGCTGAAGAAATTTTGAAATTCTACTCAACAAAAGCGAAAATACTTTTCTAAAACACTTTTACCAGCAGATTCACTGAACTTTCATGAAAACTTCTTTCCTCGAAAAATACTTCATCGAAAGATCGGAAATTTTTTCGATATACTCATGTTTTTGATGAAAGCTCACAGTACGCTCGCGCTCTTTCAAAATGGCGAATAGATACGTAACACATTTTTTATCAATATTTTTCGAAACATCCATAAAAAAATGCTATGGGGTAAAAAGAACCCCGCAAGAAAAATCTATTTGAAGTATCGATACACAGTAACATGTTCTCGTTGATCAAAGTGCGTATAACTATGACTCTGTTCTAGGCTAGATGCAACTTAATAGTGAAAATTGAATCATCCGTTGTTTGAGTGAAGTAGATTGCTTGGATCTTTCAAAAATATCTGAGAGGACGAGTATAATCAAAACCGTGCTAAAGTAACATATATACACTCACGCTCATTCTCTATAGTGGTAAGATTACTTCATCCTCTATATATTCTTTAACAGAAATTATAGATGAAAAGTTCGATTGATGATCGAAAAGAACCGATGTGGTAAGTGAGCATTAAGAAGTATCAGAACCCTATGAAATAGGTTAAATTCTTTACTTTTTCAGATTTTACATAAGATAAGTACGTCAATAGTTCATTGAAGCGAAACGGTCTGTTTACATTCCTGATCAGTCGTTTTTGATGATTTTTTGTACAAAAAGTATTAATAAGAAAAAAATATTATTTTTTAAAGAATATATAGTAAATACGGTTTATATCGAAAATTTATTAATAATGAAAATATTTTTTAAATTCGTATTCATGTTTCGTGTATCTTATCTTATTCCAGAAAAAAGTAGTGCTCACCAATGTGGTAAAATAGCTGTTTAATCGACAATTTTTGTTTTAAAAATCGTGACTAACCATCAGAACTGTGAATAAACATTCTTTTTCTCTAGCAGTGTTCATCATGCTCATTATGAACGCTATCTATCATGATTCTCTTTAATTAATCAAATTTTTTCCTTTAATTTCAGGTAAAAAATGGGTTCTTTATTTAGTTCTAAAAGACGCAGCATATATGCCTCTCAAGAACCAGTAAACGCACCACCGATGAATCAACTATACAATGTCGAATTTGGATATGCTCCTGTGGGACCAGCAGGCTCTATGCAAAGCGTTCCGAAACGCGTTATGTACGGGGTACCTCCGCACAAACGGCGCAGATAAAAAAAGTACAAATGATTCTCCAATTTTCATTAAACTGAATCATCTAGTAATGATTTATTATTTATTAATTTTACTGTTATATGAAGATAAACCCGTTGAAAACTGACGTTTAAAAAGATGAAGGAATCGGTAATATAGAGCAGAAATCTGTTAAAAGGTTTCCATAATTTTCTATCGATTGTATTCAGTTTGAGTAAGAAAACCAACATCAATTCTGAAGATAGACGATACAAACACGCCAAATCGCTCGTTACATAAATACTGATCCATATATGCATATAACTTTTTCCAAATTAATATTTTGCTGATCCTAAGTGAATAGAGACGATAAACAACTTCTATACAATGAGCATAGATTCATAGAATATTTGGGTTCTGAATGTTTTTAATGACGTATGGTTTTTTTCGGATATTGTCTGGTATAATCTGTTAAAATTGAAGTTATAGTTAGGATTGATGCGAATCCTATTACCTGTTCATACTTAGATTTTCTTCTTAAAAATTTCGATACATCGTTAAAGAAGTCAAAACAAACAACAATAATCGTGCTTGATTTTGCGATAGTTCTTTTTATGGCATGTACCTAAGATGGTAATACATCGTCATATATTTTAATACAACGAATACTATCGCAACAGCAAAATGCATCGTGATATATTGATTTCTTTGATATTATAACAGACTAGATGTGGCTCAATCACTACATCATGGAACATACGATAAAGATGGCACGTTCTATACAAATCTCAACAAACACTCATGAACAACAATTGTTTGCTCTATATTTAAAATTGAAACAATCCTTCATGTACCGATCATAGCCAGCACAGCTAATAAAATAACTCACTCAATACTCCTGTTTTTTTAATTAGAGTATTTTTCGTCCACGATTAGAGAAAAATCTGCACGGACAAGATTTTTTTGTCTGTGTCCATAGACCTTTCTAGGATATTTGTCCGTGCCTGTCCGTGAATTTTTTCGGCTGCCCGTGTCTGTCCGTTTCTGTGGATATAAAAACTGTAGTATGACAAAAAACCATGTTTTAATCATAAATATTTTCTTCTCTTCTATGAAACCAATTAATTCTCTTGTATATTTCACCGAAAATTTTCTATCATGTTCTTTCATTGACAGGTCTTTTACTACCTATGCTTCATTCACAAACAATTCATATTTGGAATTTATTTGTTACTCAAAAAGTTCTCAAAAACCGGTGTCCGTCAGAGAAAACGGCTGCCCATTCATGCCCACGGCCACTGGAATTCGTGCCCGTGCATATCTCTACTATTGATTATAGTACTTGACTGCTATCATCTATAACAACAAATAATGAATTAAAGTTTGTAGTAAATGTCTGTCATTTCTAACAATCATATTAACTGAGATAGAGATAGTAGAACTTGTCAGTTACTGGTTGAAAAGGTAATAAATTGGTGCTATGGGTAACGCCAACATCATGCAGTTCTGTATCATTTGAATAATGATATCTCAAAGGATGTACATATGACCTGTTTGTCCACCCGTAGGCTGAGGCCTGACATCATGTACAGCAGATATCATGCAAGAATACACTGTACAAAATAAAGTGTGGGAATTCCCACATTTCTGTTCCCATGCGATTTTGGATCTATTTCCCACATCAATTTTTCTCCCGCTCGAAAATTTTTGCTTATTTTCTTACACAATAATTTCCACGTTTCGGAAATTTCCCACAGAATTTTTGCCACACCATTTTCATTCGTTTCTCACAGTACCCCACACATTATTTTTTACAGTAAAATACTTTTATCAGCAACTATGAACAACGTCAGAGTTAAAATATTATTTATGTACATATTTAGAAGTTGTCACTTTTTTATTAGTGACGCGTGTTCTCATACTCTTATAATCGACAGAAAAAAATCGTGTATAGTTTTGAAAAACAATTTAAACGCTGATATGACTCCATTATTCTCACTCGAACTAGTTCGTTAACGGTAGAACTACTGCCATAAATGAACAAAGCAAACGGCATGTAAGTATAAGTTATTCAAACATCTATTTGAAACGTATGAAAAAAGATACTCAAACAGTATTCGAACTATGCATCATACATTTTGTCGATGGTATGTGTGTGTGTACTTATTTTATTTAGATTATTGTGAGCGTATGCTATTTTCATACAATTTTTTATATTCTTTAATTATAAAAATAATGATAATGAGTCTATAAATTCAGATCCAACAAATAAAACCATAATAAAATGGGCAAATTGAATATTCTAATAGTCATAGTTTGTGTTCAGGATGAATTATTCAATTTTCAGACGACAATTTCGATGAAATTGATCGTTAAAATGTAAGAATACTGTGGATCAAAAGAAAAATAACAGATTGTATTTGCCAAACTGTTGAAAAATGCATCAGCACAACAAAAAGCTTAGTGTGTAAATCGACTACAAACGACCTCAAAAAAAAAATTTCACGCGCTTCTATATCGTTAAACACACGTGCATGTGTACGTTGTGAGGAAAAACTATTAAAAAGGCTTAATTTAAGTTTCTTAACACTGATTTCATTCCTTTTTAAGCTTTATATATTGTAACACAAAAATAAGTTACTTTAGATCACTACAGAAGTAATATCGACTTTCCAATCTACACAACTCTTTATATTATATAATCAAAAGATGGTTTGATTAACCCATCTATGTCAGCCAAAGACTAACTATGTTCCACAACGACTGAAAAGTCGACTTAGTAAAATGACAGTTAGAAAAGGTTAGAACACAGGGACTCTGAACAGCATTTGCATTTGTTATCGTAATGAGCACAAGATGTCCTGTCACAGATCTCATCAATTAGATGACTCTATGTTCTATGCACTGTCAAGCAGCTCGTATGAGTAACAGTTCGATTAATTATCCCCTCAAAGAACATTTACTTGAACCTTACACGTCATACGTATTATACAGTATATATGCACTGTGAAGAAAAACGATGAAGTCTTTGAAAATATATAGATTGTTCAGAAATAATTACACGATAAATAAAACTTTTCTTACTGATCCGAGTAGAAAAGCCGTATGGAGAAAAGAGAGAAGAACTTTTCTGGTGAAAAGTAATAACATCTTTCTGTTTCACTCAGTGAACTTGATAAATGATAAAACATACGCATCAGTGTGGACCACCAGAGGCCTGAATCCTGGGTGGGTGTGTACAACCTATTCAGGCCCTTAATGAAGACTGAAGGCGTTCTAATCATCACACAATAATCGCAGGAGTATTGAAAGCGTTAATAAGTGTATAGAAAGTATATAAAAGAATCCGATTTCTGATCTAGGTGTCTAAATGTATTTCACACATTCTATTCATTTCTTTCCTGCAAAAAGCATATATACATTCGCAATTCTCACCTTTTCGTTAACACACACACACACACACACACACACATTCTCTCCCTGCAAAGAGCATACTATGCTTTTACAGTTCGAAAAAATGATTGTGATATACGTTTTATTCCGTAAAACTATAAACCCATATCGAATGATATATCAGTTTGTTATCAAGAAATTTAAACCGTTAAAAAGTACCCGGACATATCGATGAGTTGTTTTCTGTTTTTTTATGTTAATTAATATATGAACAAGCAAAATTCTATATATATAGGTACATATACATATATAAATTAACAGGATAAAAACGAAAATTTTCTATACAAACAACATCAATATACGGAAATACAAAAAAAACAACTAAGATCAAGTTATCTGCTTTTACTTTATTATTTTTATTTCGAACTAAAAAACACATGGAAAAAACAAAAACAAAATTTGCGTAGCACCATACTCGTTGTTCAGGACAAAATACATAAACAGATTTTTACATACAAAATACAGTTATTCTAGCCTAATAGACAAAAAAAAACCGTGAGCAAATGCAAAGGAAAAAACAGTCTAATTAGTTTGTTTTCTAAGCAATAAAATAAATAATATTTACACAAACGCATACAGATGAACTGATACAACAATCAGGAAGAACGAAATGACTGGATCTTTACTATTCTTTTAATGAGTCTAGTGCATCGCGTACAGTATAGTACAAGATATTTTTTGCCTAAAAATAAAAAAAGTCCAAAATAAATCAGACGCTTAAATGAACACTTCTTAACTTTTTTTACCTGAAGGATATCAGCATGATTTGTGTGTGTTTTTGATAACGAGCGAAATTCATTAGTTGTGATTAAACAACGATCGATATTCTCAGGTGACACAAAATCTTCAGCAATTTTAATACATGAATGTAAGTTCTTTACCTAAAATGATGCAAACTTATTGTTCATTAACTCGCGCATCCACTATTTGATAAACTGCAGATTGACATGTACTGTTAGTACATGTTGAAATTTCAACGAAGTCAGTTTCATACTATAAAACGTACCTGGTGCGGTGCGCCAGATGGGATAAACACAGCATCACCCAGATATTGTATGATTGGATATGAATAGACACCAAATTTTTCTAATTCTTCAAGATCGTTTTTTTCTAAATATGTTTGTTGGTCATGTATTGGGTCAGTACCATACGTTTTCTTTTTATTCTGGAAAAGAAATCAACAATACAGCCTCCTATTACGACCGAACTCAGTGGACTTAGTAAAAAGAAAGACTATTACGATTCACTTACTCCACGTATATATTGACGAATTGTTGGGACATCGTCAGCTCGAAATAGATGCCATAATGCTCCAGCAAGTTCGCCATTATACAATCGATTTAATTGTGCACAGCAAACATCCGATGATTCAATAATAGCTCTTACATCTGAAATCAAAAATGCGTATTTGTGAAAAATATCAAATGTTTCTTTTTCGTCTAACCTTTAATTTCTCCTTCTTTGTCGTCGCCGTTTTCTCCTTCGCCTCCGATACCCTACAACGTGCAAAAATATTCACGTTATTAAGGAAAATTTTAGTTGAACTTTGTATTATAAACGCAGATCGTAACTGATTCAAGTGAAATAAGTGATTGACTAAGAAAAGAATTACCCACCACATAAACCAGTACGTTGACAGCATCCGATGTATCGATATGAAGATTTGTGGTTCCAGCTTGCTTCGTTCCATTTACTTGACCTTGAAATAAAAACACACGTTTTACATGTCAACTGCAAGATTACAAGCTATAAAGAGTTGATGGCTCGAAAAGAAATTCATCCTCCAATGGACAGACAGTTTAAACAAAAATTAGCTTATTCATCATGAAAATCGACTATTTTCTGTTTGACGTTTCGTCTTTATTCAGTCAAACAGAAAATAGTCGATTTTCATGATGAAAAAGGTTGTTTATCTCTTATTATCTATATTGAAATTCTTCACCTTACAAAATGACTCAAAAATTCGCTTACTATAGGCAATATAAAGTTTTGGTCCTAAATCCGGTCGCACCAAAACACTCGGAAGACGTTCAACAATATTTAACAGACCACCATGTTTTGTTTCACCATTATAAGAATATAAACGACGAGTATAATCACCTAAAAAAAACATTTAGCATTATTTCCAGAAAAGTTCTTGAATAAAAGATGGATAATTACCAAATGGAATATTTCTCATTAAGTCGTCTAAAAGCGATGGAAAAACTGTTGCAAAATCTTTTTTAGTTGGCCAATCTTTTAATTTTAATATACGCCGTTTCCCACCATTTTCTTCATTTAAAAGTCGTACTAAAAGAGCAAAAGAAACAAATAAAAGCATCAAAGAAAAACGAACGCATTTACCATTCAGTTTTTCAAATCCATCCCAAAATTTTGTTAATTTTTCCTCATTCGACTTAATCGGTTGTAGTGTTTCACAATCATAAAGCGATGGTGTTTCATTATGAGATAGCATATATTCCTTAAACGATTGTGGTTGCCATAGGCTTTGTGTTAAGCCTTTATGAACATTTTTCACCAAAACAGGCGTTCCAGCCATCCATACTTTTTTAAAAAACTAAACAATGACAAAACAATAATTAATTTTACGAATAAACGTATAAGATCAAGCAAACAACATACTTTTTTTGAACTTTCCGTTATCCATTCGTTAAAAACCGGCAAACGATTTTTACAATAAAACTCCGCGTTCGGATTATTCTCACAATCGTTTATACTCCACAGTTTTTTAACATTGTCTGCTTCATTTCTTCTTGTCACATATAAATTACGAATAAACGTTGACGTTATATCATTTGCTGCAGATGGTGATGTTGGTGAGTCAAGAGTGTCTTCACAATTTATCGATTTTGATCTCAGATATTTCATGCATTCCAGCCTTAATATATCCAATCCTAAAAGAAAATGTAACAAAGATGTTAAAACATGAAATATTGTTGCTGCAATATCATTACGTACTTTCCCATGGAATAAATTCTGATAAACGAAACAAACTGTGTGAATGAATACAGACTTTATTTGGCTCTAAACAAAAATAAGAAAATATAAACAAGATTCTTTATCTAGAACTGACACAAAACATCAACAGAGATGCTTTGTTCTTTGATTAGTATCAAAATTCCACACATAAACACTCACTTTTCCTTTTTTCGATATTATTCGTTGCTTCATCAGAACATTCAATACATCGTACATAACCACAGTCCGTACAGGTGTAATGATAATTGAATAGAGTTGTTGAACATTCATCACATGTTTCTCGATACCCGTCAATACATCGTTTCCATATTCGTTCTTAAATAAGAAAGTGAATGTAGCACTAAATGAACTGAGATCATGAATGATTATAAACATACTATCGTTGTTTTTCATTAGATGCTGTTCATGTAAGACGAGTTTGCACAACACTTTTCCAATTTGATTCAAAATATGTTCTGATTCAACTGGCGTTAGTTTTTCTTCGTTACCTATAAGTTAAACATACAATTAAAGTTTTGAGAAATAGTCAATATTTGTTTATTTATTCATTCTTTAAAAGTTCCTTTTTATACGTACTAGAGTTCGCTCTTACGACTGATTCAAGATCGTTATCTTTGGCATCCTCCGATGTTGTAAAACCAGCAATAGAATATTGATCACTATCACGGATTAACCTGAATTAATTAATAAAGTTATTTTGATTCATAATTTCTGAGAGGCTTAAGAAATCGATGGGTTCCTTACATTCGACAGTATTGAAATCGACAACCAGTAATGGATTGTTGCTGTTTTGATGCTTGTGGATTTTGTAATCGAATTTGTTGAACTTTTTGACAATCGATACATCTTGTGACATTTACCGGATATGATGTGCAAAATTTCGATTGAGGAGCTATTTACATATGAGAAAAGAGGCATTTAGTAATACTATATCTCATATGATTTTCTACCGAATATTAATTAAGTCCTCTATTGTCATTTTTAAGCAACACATGTGTTTTATTGTGACAAAAGAGTTTTCGTTTTTATCGATTAATGATACTGTCAAAAGAGAAAGAAATACTAAAGAAATTTTAATTATTTTCTTACATGGTTCATAACACCGTTTTTTATAGAGTTGTTCATTATCATTATCTAATACACGTTTTGAACTATTTGTATTCTGTATACACAATAATGCCATATTCGTGTTACATATAGAAGTATCTGATTGTACAAAAGTCTGACGTTTACGAGTGAACGTTGGAGACCGTCTTCCATGCCTCGTTATTTTGTGACTAAAATATAAAAAGGCATGGCGCTTATTCACAAACCTTTTTAAGTACTAAGTGCTTATGAACATTCGCGTATTCACGTAAGTGAATAATCAAAATAAGCTGAAATAACGCGCTTTTTATCTTGTTTCACTAGCGTCTAAAATATCATTTCTAACTTGCACTGTCCGACATACATTAAATAATTGTTAACATTTATCGTACCGTATTCTTTGTTCACTGTTCATAATACGCAGAATGATAGCTTTTCACTCTACAAAATTTAATAAGAGATGATGACAAAAACTGAATGAATTTTTTTCCCTTTCCGAGGGTCAACTTCTAACGTCTATTAACCGTAGTTGAGTTATTAGTATCTCTGACAGACGGCAAAAATGAAACAATTGTACATCTCTCTTTTATTTCTTACCCATCCTCTCTAATCTATATACATATACATAGCACGTGTGTTTATAAACAACTCGAAATGTATTATACAGAACTGTTTTGTTTTTTAAAAGTAGTGAATAGAGGAGGAAGAGAAAATATGTTCTCTCTCCCCTATACATTCTAATGAGTAATCTCAAAATTATATTTAAATTATATGAGCTAAGGAGATAGTAGACTGTTATATCATGAATGTCAACTGTGTTTGACTAATGCGCTTAAATAAACAGGAATGCTAGGAAAAAGTTTCTAAATTGAATTTACTAGCATTATTAAATTATTTTAATCAACGCTCATGAGTGGTATATACTTGATGGTACGTATTGACATTTTATTTTCGTTCTTAGTAAGTTATCGATGATTTTTCCTCTCTCTCACTTAATGAGTACCTTTAGTTATTAGCTGACAAGAGCTACCTTTCTAGTATTAGAAAAAAAAAGCTCTCGCCTCGAGCCATTGCAAAGCGATTTATAGGCATTTTTACTTACTTCCATTATTTCCTCAATCAAGTCTACGCGAAATTAAATGAGCTTGGAAAAAAAATATTTGAACTCGGTGTGTTTAATTGGCTTTAAAATAAGAGAAATGAGTTCAGTTGTATAACAATTATATTTATTTTATATAAATGAGAGTTTTGAGCTCAGAAATCAATTTATGAAAATTAATTAATGATTTTGCCAGTAGCAGCATATATTTAATAAGAAACAAATAGTTCAAGAAGAAAAAGCGTGCTGAATTACAATAGTTTTTCATTAATATTCAGTTGTTTGTCAGAGCTAATCTAACTTTCTTTGAACGACCTTTTCCCTTCTTACCCTAAGTGGCTGTAGAACTTAATGAACATTTTCTGTGACATACTTTTCCATTGTCAAATCTTTGCTTTAATTTGTATAAATCGATGGGCTTTTTATGCTCAGATAAATATATAAGTCTACCATCATTTTGTTCAAGTAAATATGGCCTTAAAGAATATTCTTATGGGGCTTAATAATGATATGGGATCATCGTAAAATTTTACAGCTATAAGAAGGAAGAAAGGGGAAAAGGTTGTCCAAAGAAAGTTAAATTAGCTCTAACAAACAACTGAATATTAATGAAAAACTATTGTAATCCAGCACGTTTTTTCTTCTTGAACTATTAGATATACGTTGCTACTGGCAAAATCATTAATTAATTTTCATAAATTGATTTCTGAGCTCAAAACTCTCATTTATATAAAATAAATATAATTGTTATACAACTGAACTCATTTCTCTCATTTTAAAGCCAATTAAACACACCAGGTTCAAATATCTCTTTTTTCCGAGCTCATTCAATTTCGCGTCCTGATAGATACGTCATTCTTTTATAGATTTATAATAACGACATAAATGTATACATACATAAAGAAAGGAAGGACAGCAGTGTACAACAGATTAGAAGAGACTTTTGATTGAGCCAGATGGAAGCTTTATTTTGATTAACAAACTAGGAAAGCAGTAAAAGGAAAATTATTTGCGTATTTAACTAAGTTTAAACTGACTTAAGGAATGACACGAGACAGCATTCTACGATAAAGGATTCCATTAATCACAAGTACGATAAAAAATGAAGAAGTAGCATGAGCCTTGTGATAATCGAGTTTTTGAGCGAAAGTAAACGCGCTCACAAAGTAAAAAAGCGTTAGACTATATTAAATTATTTAGAAGGCGTAGTTATCCGCTTTTTATGCATAGAAAACACATTTAAATGCGTTTAAGCAACATCTTAGAGCGCATTATATACGGTAAAGGGGAATCCCATGTTTGAGAGCTGTAGATGTCGTTAAGTGCCGTATGAGGCTGTTTGTGAGATATATTTTTCTCAGGATAGATAGTAGCTACAGAAGTCGAGTTTGTTTTAAATGAAACTAGACATCTGAATCAAAAGAATGGCAAATGCTTTTGTTAGATTTCGATTCCTTCAGTTTTTGTCATATATTTCGAGTTGAAAGTCCAGAAAAGTGCCTCTTCTTTCCTTTGTAATATCCAGTTTTCTCAGTGAGGAAGGCGAAATTCAAAAAATGGTCTGTCACTTTGTGATCTATGTTTTAGCTATTAAACAAAGAAAAACTAGCTAAATTACGATGAGTCAGTCATTCCTGAGAAAAATGTTTCTTGAAATGTCTTTTAAGAGTAACATAAAAAGCCCAAGGTTGAAGTCCATATATCTCTCTCGGATGAAACTTTCAGAAAACCTGTATGAATCTCTCAAAATCTAAGTTTTTTATGAAGAGTTATATAGATTCTGAAAGAGGACATTTCCGACTATCTATCCATGCAAAAAACTCAGTTTCACTCTCTAAGAGATGAGCTCCTTAATAGAAAGAAAGTGTAAAATTATTTCCAAAGACAGTTTTCTTCCGTTTTTCAATTTGAAACGGGACAAAACGCGTAATAATGCGCTTAAAAACAAAAATAGAAATAAATGATTTTAAAATCAGGATGGAAAAAAATCATAGAAAGAAGAAAGGCATGTTTTGCTACTCTTTTTTACAAAGGCCTTTAAAAACGTTCCATATACAGTGTATTATATCTTTTACAAAATTTCAGAAAATAAGCGAGTAATGTATCTGAGAATGGTCGTTAAAAATACTATCTGTTCCTTTATACGAATAAGATGAAAAATATTGTATATCAAACCAAAAAGTGCGCGAATAAGATGTTACAATGTGCATGAAAAAGTTTTATCAAGGAATATGTGTTCAGTTTTCGGTAAAAAAACGCTTTCAGGGCGGGTTACACCTTTTCAAACCGTGTAGGTCCACTTTTTATAGGTTAAATACTTTACACGAGGAGTTTTCCCTGAAAAGCGCCTGAATAGCAGATGCATATTCATTAATTTTATGCCAATGCATTGCGAAAACATTTTGATGTTTTATTATTTGAGAAAGGGTCCTGGTTGATTTGCTTACATAACTGCACAGTATCAGAGGTCTATCTTGTCTCCAATGAGTATCGTTCACACAGCTCGAACTAGTCTCAATCAGTAACAAAGATAAAACAGAGTACATTAATTCATCGGATACAAAACATCAATTGTGTTGCTTAAATTTTTACTGCTTTAACTATCTTACAATTGAGAAATGGTGAACAGAGTAGAATGCTACTTAGAAAAGAGAAGACTTTTAACAAAAGATTAGTCTTACTTTATAACAGTTTTTGACTGGCTAATGGTTTGCAATGTTTTTGGTTTTTCTGGTGATGGTAACTGCGAAAGTGAGAATCGATGACGGTTATTAATATTTGGTGTTGGCCGAATATCATTCAATAGTGACGCAGTAAGAGGCGTTGTACTAGATAATAACCGATGAAGAATCGGGGATGTTATTTTCTACAAAAAAACAATTTAACACAGTAATTCTCAAACTTTAGTAGTGCATAAACGATGGATTTACTTGAGACTGAGATTCTGACATGGTCAATATAAATTGATTTTGTTGAATATTATCCAATTCTTTGATTAAAGTAGAGTTAATTTTTTGAGACATAGTATTTTGACTTATTATCAGCTCATCTATCGAACACATCCTCTGAGAATCATGATCTTTGTTAATTGAATCTATCGATAATTGTCTATAAATATTGCTACTAGTATTATTTGACTTATTTAAATACTTCCAGTTTGATATTGTCGTTTCAATTTTAGCAACGACATCTAGATAAGAGTAAAGAAAGTAAATTCTAAATATAAAACAACGACAATAGCAACAAGTACCAGATATTGGTGCCGCTTTTTCAACATGTTTTATTATATCCGACGATTCATTTAGTAAATCTTGAATATCAGATTTAATAGATGTTTTATTAATGCATAGATCTAAGGGATATTTCGATGGACTGGCTGATGGCGTTGACGTTAGTGACGAAACATTTGGACTGCAGTCAATAGAACTAATTGTTGGCGATAAAGATAATAAGGATTCTGCTCTAAATTTTCGTTGAGGACCACATAATGATGATGTAGGTATAGATGTAGATGAAGCTAAACAAAGACAATAGTTAACATTTGAAATGACATCGTATATATCCATTACCTAGTAATCTTTTAGCTGTTAATTCGCGGTTAAATTCAGGTGAAAATGATTGTTCGTAAGATGGTGGTGAAGAAAACTGTGTTAAATATGAAGATGATTGATAACATGTTGGTTGAATTTCACTTTGTTGCCATCTATAGTGTGACCAAAATGCTTGATCTTGCGGTGTTGAAAAGCATTTTTCGTATATAAGTTGATTGAAATTGTAATAGTTCATTAAATCGGGATTATTGTTACTTAATGTGGAAGATGCTGATGATAACAGTCTATGATCATTAAGTTTGAGTTGTGTTGCCGTGCTCGTGTAAGGATTTGGCACATTTATATAATGATTATCCATCTAGAAATATCAAAGTAACATATCACTTCAAATATGATTTTCCAGAAATCTCAAATTCATTCAAAATTTTCTGAGATGATGTCCTTTAAAATCTCGTAAAAGTAAAGCACATCTTTCTTTCCGATTATTTATGAGCTAAATGGAATAATACACTTCGACAGTATAACATATTCTATAGTAACCAATATCAGTTTTCCGAAAAAACAAAATCATGTGTTTTTTGATTTAATTGTTTACAATCTATTTTATGCAGTACTGTGTGACGCACTACTGATTTATTTTCTGTCTTTGTTCGTAGATAAACAACTATAAAAAAACTAGAGGACAAAAGTATGGTTTTTAGTACCTTTGTTTACCTATAGACAACAGAAAAAGGTGACAGCATAAAATGTAATGCGATTCTGTCATAACAAAGTTATCAGTTCAATCGAGAGAGTTGAGCGCGCCGAATGACAGATGCATGATTTCTGATGCAGAGAGAAAAAAGCTTTGTTTTAGCCTCCAAGTTTTGTATAAATATTGGTCGTTTATCAACAAACTAACGACAGAAATCGGATATTGGGCACAAAAAGAAAAAAACTAAATCGGAACGGAAGCAGCAAGTGTCTGGATTAAAGTCATGGATTGTAAATTATATCGAGAATCTGTTTTCATCTAGCCATTAATTCTCTAAAACTACACAAAATAACAAGAAAAAAGTCGTCAGAGGTTACGTTAAGGCCATCTAGCATGGATAAAAACCAATGAAATTTGTTCTATGAACCTCGACTTTGATGGAATAAAATATCAGTAGGATATGAAACTATCTACCTCATATCTTAATACAAATTGATGTAACCAAAAATTTATAAGAGATGATATAACAGTTTTAGTAGCGCCCTGTTTAACTTTGTAGAATGAGGGAACAAGTCACATTTGGACTGCACCAGACAATACACCAATGGTAGAAAAAGCACGTTAAAGTTAGTTTGGGCCATGTTTTGCGTTCTTTCCTTTTAGCTCCAAATAGTATCAGTAGCTAAAAGCAGCCAAAATCAATGTGAACTGACGTAGATAACATCTACTTGAAGCTAAAAGGAAACAACACGTGTTCAAGCTACAAAAGTTAAAGAGCATTAACGAATCTGATTGGTCGCTAAAGGCTTAAGTTATCATGAAAATATGATGACTTCGGAATGAAGGATCGGTTGTAAAGAAGTAAATAAACATTAACATCTTCTCTTCAGTGCGTTTGAAACATCGAAGTAAGCATTCACTTATCCACCCAAAAATGTTAATATTTGAAAATTCCAATATATTTATAGTTCCCCCCGTGACTTTGATTTCTTAACGCATCCGAGTTCGCTTTCTTTTTCTTCGGAAAGCTGCCCTTTTTTAGAAAATTTATTTCAAGCTTCTTGTTTATTTGTAAAAAACGTTATCATTCCAGAGTTTTGAATTTCATCGTATATAATTTATTTTCAACAAGAAAAAATCAAAATTCACACATAACTACAAGTGAACACAAAAATCAGAGGCGTATCTATCGGAGAGCAGAGAGCTCATTTTTTAGAACAAAACTACAACAAAAACTTTTTACACGTTATCACTGCAGAACTTTCTTCAATAAATTCTTACGCCTCCTTCTGCCTCAAAGGTGCTACGCTCCTGAGAAAAATAAAGAGTTTAGAACACAACACAGAAAAACATGATTAGTCTCAGCTTTATTAATACTAACATGAAGTGTTTTTCATAAGTAATACAGCTTACAACAAAGTTCAGACTGATTTGTACAAACAAAAGTCAACAAATATCAATTTGCATAAAAGATACAATAGAGTAATTAAAGAAATGTGTGAACAACTATTTTTGATACAAAAAAAGTAAAAACAGCACAAAGATTATCACGAATATGTTAAAAAATGCTATTTATTTTTAATTATCACACATTTGCTATTCTTGTGATGGACTTCGTTGTTCTCCAGAATGAGCACGTCTTTCATGGTGACGATGAGCAGAAGATGAACTATTTGAATGGTGTCGACGATGTGATCGATTTTCATCGTCTGCTGACGGTGAAAGTGTCCTTTTTTCGGGTACAGCACCTATTGTTATTGTAGCTAAACTCACATCAAGATCCTCCCCAAATAATGCATCTGAAAAACGTACAAAAAATTAAAATTTTCAAGTTCTTTTAATCGAACTGTCTCTCGTATTTCTCCTACCTGAATCTGTAATTGGCGTGCCACTAAATGTTAGTTTAAAATAAAATGGCCAGTTCGAAGCTAAAACAAATCGTCAACAACGCACAATGAATACACAATTTCTTCGCTCTACTCACCAGAATGTTGCAATGGATAATTATTAGCCAAAACTAAACATTCACACGCATCAGTTATATTACGAAACTCGGCCAAACCAGTCACACCACGAGGCTGATTTTGACCGCGACGATTTCGTTCACCATCTTCAATGAAAAACATACACACATGTGTAACAGATACACACACAAATCAAAACAAACATACTATGCTCTTGCTTTCGTGCCGGGAAATTTTTTATTTTCAATGGCCGCTTTCCACCAAGATCGTCAAAGAACTAAATAGAAAAACAATCTCATCTTCACACTGATCAGTAGAGAAACAGCTGCACTTACTCGAACAATATCGATTTCCGTCATAAGTGGTGGCGTGTTAAAATAATATAAAACATTGGACGGGGCAACAGGACGATTCTTTTGTGCTTGTTCACTTGTCAAATAGCGGTTATTGCGGTTTGTTGTGAAATCCATATACGATGGCTCTTTGTCAGCCAGCTCATACGGACGTTGAACGGGTTCAATTTGTGGTTGACGTGATCCACTGAAAAGAGAGACACACGAACTACGGAACACCGCCCACCATGGAAGCAAAGAGCAATACTAACACAATGACAATCTTTTTGCCGAAGATATAAGTTGAATTCAGATTTCTCAAATATTGTCTCAGATTATCACAATTATTCATTTGAACCATTGCTGAACCATCCTTTGATTTCAGAAATTTGACCTAAATGCAACAAACGAGATGTGGTTGCAATTGATGATCAACTTGTGCTAGACACACACTTACACGCAACACATTTCCATACAAACATAGGAAATTAAATAACTTTTCACAATTCCATTTCGAGGTTAATCCTTGTATGTTAAAGACATGTGAACCAGGTGTTGGTTGTTCAGTGATGAAATGATCAAGCTGTTGGGCAATTAAATGTGATTCACTAGTTAGCATCTGCTGACGTGAGTTGTTATGACTTGGAAGTTGATGTGCATTTTGATTTTGAAAGAAACGTTGTTGCTGAGGTTGCTGTTGACTTTGATATGGACCAACATAATTTAAATTTTGTGGAAGATGAAGTGAACTATGTAATAAGCTAAGTGTATTGTTAGGTACAGTATTGTATTTGGAACTAGTATTTGTCTTAAAACATAAATAAAAAACGCACACTGCTAAGCTGTTAAATAGAAGAGTGTGGTAATTACCGAAAATTGTTGAGTGTCAAGACTGGGCGAACCTTAAGATTAAAAGATGTTCTTAGAATTAAAACTGAGTAGACAGGTCTTGCTCACCATAATTACTTAATGAACGTGGAGGTGAAGAAAGTAACGTTTTTCGACGAGAATAACCTGCAGTAAAAATAAATAATTCAATTTCTTACAGTTATTTTTGTTTATTTTACAACATGAAAAAAGATTTCTCACTAAAAGTGAGTGAAACGAGATAAAATCCATACGCAGGTTATTTGAACAATAAATTATTCACGCTGCCATGAAACCTATAAAAAGCAAATAAAGAGATTATGGTACACAAAGTTAAGAGAAAAGAAAATCAAAATTATGAGCAGAAAAATTGATTTCATAAAATTTTTTATAATGCAATATCTCTCAATAAATTCAGTTTTAAATTTATTTTACTCTAATTCATCACACTTTTTTGTACAATTTCAAATGTTTTCAACTAAGAAAGAACGTTTTGTTGAGCATATATTAATAAAAGTTTGTTCCATATTAAAATTTGTTTTTATAAATTATCAAATTTGTAAATAGTAAAGTTAATAAAAAAAAACAGAGACTAACTAAAGAAGACGAGAAAACATTAGAAATACTTGCTTTTACTTACATTTATGAAACATATTTATTCTTTTAATCGCATTGATGGTTATTATTATCATTATATAGTTGAGTCGATAATAAATATATCTTTTTCTGTTAGATTATTTTTGTTATCAATATACAACAATAAATACTTTCTATAGTAGATAAAACTTCATTTTCGGAAATCTGTTTGCAGGCACATATTGAAACCAATAGTTAATTATTATTAAAAAATGTTATTTACGTAACCATTATTGCATAATATTGTTGAATAGATTAAATTTGTTGTTTATAGTTGTTTTGCGCAAACAAATAGTTTATCAATTATGATAAAAATATTTTGGATAATAATACACAAACGCATGCATTTTGATCGCGCATATTACCATTTGGTATGTAAGGGAACTTACCATTACACATATCTTTATTTTACCTTCTTGTCTGAAACGACTCTCTATGGATAAATTAATATCTACTCACAAAGACTTTTTTTTCTGTCGTTCAAACAAGTTAGACTTATAAGTATACAGAAATTCACTTATTAATTTCAATTTTAATAAAAATTGCACATCCGTTTTGGCATAAATAATTAAAAATTAAGGAGTTATACTCTACTTAATGTAACAAAATAAAACATAAGCCTACCAGTTTCATCTACGGTTAAATCCAAATTATCTTGATCATTTCCTCTGACAATCAAACGATTAATCTAAGTAAAATAGAGATAGAATATTAAAAAGAATTTGCATAAAAGTGGATTATTTACTTTAGCAAATTCAATTTTTAATGTACAGCAACCAGAATAAATATCAGCACCATTTAGTTCAACTTTAACTTTGCTTGCTGTTTCTGGCGAATCGAATTCAACTAATGCTTGAACGCCACGTTTACGTACAATGATAATACGCAATACTTTTCCCACAAATGAACAGATTTTATGGATGACCTCCTAAAAACAGCAACAAAACAATGTGGTAATAGTCATTTTAAGTAAGCATCATGCCAGATTATTTTTAGGCAAAATCTACTCTGTCCCAAGATCCGATACGCAGTGTGTGCGTTACATTTCACAGCAGATCTAACCACGTTATTTTCTTTCCTTAAAGTCAATGGAAAAATCGTATCTTTACAGAATGTATCCCGCCAAAGCAGAGTACCCTACAAAAAAATATTTTATCGGCACTGGTTGTGCACCGGTACCGAATAATTTTTTTCCTGGGCACCGATGCGCATCGATGCCAGAAAGAATGTAAAAATCTCGCACCGATGCGCATCAGTGCTGAAGTTTTGTTTTCAATCATCATTTTGTTTTGTCAATTTCTATCTATATTAACGCTACGGTCTACTTCTAATATTTCGAATGTCTTTCTGACTTCATTTTTTCCTTCTCATAAGAGAAGTGCCGAGGCAATGCCGCATGGTTTTGGCATGTCAATATTAATCAGTGCCGCACTCTAACACAAAATTCAGCATAAACAACCATAATAAAGAACTAATTAAATTGATTAAATAAATTATCAGTGCGGCACCGATTTTTCCTAGTGCAGCACCCATGCGGCACTGATTTTTACCAGTGCGGCACTCTTTCAGCAGAAATATATCGGCACCGGTGCGCACGGGTGCCAATTGGCACTGGTTCGGCACTTGCTGGACACGGGTGCGCACCGGCACCAGCCAGTGCCAGTGAACGATGGCATGCCATGCGCACCGGTGCGCACTGGCAGTGCCGCACTGGAATTTTTTTTATAGGGTAGCTTTTCTTTTTATATGAGACGCTAGAAATATCGATTTCCATTAGTGTTTAAAAGATGTTCGAAACTCTTAGAGAAGTTATTCTCACACATGTGTAATTTGATCTTCTGTATCATATGTTTAGAAACGAAAAAGGCTTTCTTCAAATAACTAGGATTAAGTCTTCAAAAAAATATTTTCAATAACCCAATTTTTTTGAGCATAACAGTCAGTACAAAGTCGGAAGAAATTCATTTACTGGAAGTTTTAAACAAATTGAATACTAAACAAAGAAGGGAAGTGAACACTTTGGTCCGTTGTAATGCCGAAATTGAGTCATTAAACAATAGTAAACTCCTGTCTGGGGTAGAAGACCATGATGTTTTTATTGTTTAAGAATAATCAACAGTCGTTAGATTCTTCAAAAATGAAGAAAAGAGGCAATTAGTTTTCAATTGATTTAACGGTCAAATTATTCAAGGGTCAAGTAAGATGTTGGTATAAAACGTTATTTTTTAGTACATATACTCTCTGTCTCATTCTATTAAAGGGCAAAAAGCGGTTATTCTAATATTGTTCTCTCGTAAATAAATAATTCACTTTTCTCTGAGCAGAACAGTCCTCTAACATCAGTTTCAGTAAAAACAAATGACATGGTTAGATCGCTGGTTAAAACGTGTATATTTTTCGAGTGCACACATTCAAAGTGAGATTTTGATACTCTCGAGTTAGCTACACCGTGAACTCTACTGCATACTTCATACCAAATCTCCTATGAGCAAAGAGAGCAGATTTTGCCAGCAATCTTCCAGGGACGTTTTTCAAGAAAAAGCTTACAACTGTAATGGGATATTTTGGATTTTGAATAGTAAAATTTAAAACAGATGTTTCAGATACACTAGGATTGTTGAAATGCCCATATTCTCTAAAAAAGAAAAAGTATAATCAAACAGTTTTTTTTACTATATCATTGATTCTTTTTAAAAGAATTAATATGTTGGCAGCGAATTTTTCATTTTTTTTTACTTTGGAGTAATCTCAATTGCTATCAATTATCAATTTAGTTCAGATTCAACAACAACACATAATGCTTACTCATATCGATGATCCACATCACGCTCATTAAGATCATCATCCTAAACAGAAAATCAATGTCGTTTTTAATGTTTTATTAACAAATGATGCTCGTATATTTACTGATTCTGCCCAATCAGCACGACCAGGAATACCAGGTTCATCTCTAACACGCATACGTTTGCTTCCTTGACCACCATAACCGCTATTTGCCATATGAAGACTCGTATTACTCCCAGGTCGATGATGTTGCTGTTGTCCACTTGAAATATAAATGGTAAATGTTAGAACAGTGAAAAAAATGAAAGTATATTACAACCAATTACCCATTTGGTTTTTGCATCGAAGTCATATTTGACGACGGATGGTTATAAGAATTCGGGGGTAGTCTTCTTTGTTGATCGCGATTCATTCTGTAATTGAATCTAAAAAAGTTTGCTGTTGTTATTGCAAAAAAAAGTGTCAGAAGACAATTTTGCGTATTAATACTCTAAATTTGTCCAAAATGAAGTAGAAAAAACGCTCACAATGATAAAAAGCAACAAAACCAAGTAAACATGGATTGTTAACAAAATATAAATTCTATCGGCACAAAGGACGAGGCTTTTCTGTTGGTGCGCATGTGTCATCAAGTCTATCAGAAGCTACAAGCGACTGTATATAAGCATGAATCAGAAACTCGTGGAAAAAGCGACGTTTCCTGCAAATTAGACCGTCAAATTTCGAACAAGAAAACATCTGTCAAAAATTTTTGAAACGTTGCCAGCAGAGTGGGATGAAGCCGATATTAGTTTTCGACAAAAATCGGTCAAACATCTTCATAATTAACAATACATAGCGAAGATTCGATAGTTTTAGGAGAATCTTCACTGATTAATATACTGAAATCATATCTATTAAACAACTTAAAGATGTTGTCATAGAATTTAATCAGGATTACCAACTGTAAAAATCTGAACGTGGGACAAACTAATCTAAAATGAAAGACATATGAGAGATACCACTTATGTCTCTCATATGTCCGTCATTTTAGAGAAATTTCCAAGTGAGGAACACTTAGAAAGACAGAGTTTTACGAGGACTGCCCCTCGCGTGGAGAGACATTTGACTACCCTTGATTTAACGCATATTACAGAACTGTGAAAAGCTGGCTTAAAATTCAATGCAGTTTGTGGCATAATGACGAAAGTAGAATTGAATTCCGATTAAGATATTAGAATCAGCTTCTCAAGCTTCAATGAGTATTTATTTGCAACCCTTCGTGGTTTAGATTATATGTTGTTTCTTCGTCTGTTATCTTTTCCATATGATTCTTTATCATTATTTAACTGTCGTTCACATGCCTCCTGAGAACAACCAGTCAGCAACAGTAACCCGATCAATGTGATTTCATTCATATTGGATGCGTTAACATGTCAACAAGCGCTTATCAAGCCTACCAAACACTTGCTGATGAAAAACAATTTTCAAATTGGTTCTGCCCTAGTTGTGCAAAAAAAATTTATCGCCGTAAAAAAACTTTTTATCTTCATTCTCTTATCCGTCTCTTTTCTGATCCCAAAAGGTTTGAAACTGTGTTAAAAGATTGTCTTCCTCTTATTCTTCTCTTCCTCAGTCTATCCCTCTGGGTTCTTCGATCATATCTTCCAACTCTGATAAAGCAAAACTTTTCACTTCACACTTTTCCTCGACCTTCTCTAATCTTCATGGGAAAATTCTGCCAGCAACTGTATCAGACCTGCCTTGTACGAAGCTGTTGGACTTTGATGTTTCGGATGTTAAACATTTACTTCATAAATTGGCTAAAAAGTCACGACAAGGGTTGATGCAATTCCTTCATGCTTTCTCTCTCTTTGTGCAAATGTTATCTCCCCTAACAATTTCGTTTTTCATCTTTGTTTATCTAAAGCTCTCTGGGAAATTGCCCTGCTCGTAAAAGTAGGATTGTTTCTGTTATATTTAACTACCATCTTGTCTCTCTGCTTCCTGTAGTTAGCCGAGCAGAAGCAAAACAATCATGTATCTAGCTGTTTGACCCATCCCAGCTAGTTTAGGCTAGATACATGATCTTAAGTTTTTGAACGTCTGGTTATAAATAATTTTTTGTAAACAATCAATTCAGTTATCATCCAAAGCACTATACACTTGATTTTCTTCTACTGTTTCTTCTTATCTGAATTCTGATAAAACCGTGTTGATTGTTGCTTTTTTTGAAGCTTTTGACACTGTTTCTCGCTCACTTCTACTTAAAAAATTATCTTATTGTGGAATAACTGGTGATTTGTTTTCTCTTCTTACCTTATCTACACTCCCATGGGAGCGATCAGAAACACACGAACACACTGCAGTGTCGTATAAGTATCTATGCCTCTTTCCTTCTGCTATTTCTTCTAGTGTGTCTCAAGGAGTTATTCTTCACAACTTTAATCATTACATAAATATTTCCGATCTTTCTTTTCAACTTTCTCTTCTAAACTTAGTTAAACGTCGGAAATATTTCCATCTTCTTCATTTTTAAAATCTACCATCAGTTAAGTCCGCTGCATGTTTTCTGTTCAATACATTTACCCTTACTTTTCTATTCCTCATCGACAATACTTCGTATTCCTCCTCTTATTCAACACTTCGCCTGATACTAACAAACCTTCTTTTTTTCCGGTTTAAGGTGACTGATTGGAATAATTTTCCTTAGTTCGTGACTTCCTCTTCTCTCTCGTCTTTCATAAAAACATTATGCCACCATATTTTTAGTTAATTATCTTTTAACTATCTCAAAATTGTACATATCTTAACTTTTCGGCATTTTCTATCTTCTGTTTTGTCATGGATCTTTTTTCTTCTGCTATTCTTTTCATTTTTTTAAAATTTTATATATATACATTTGTTTCTATGTACGCCTAGCCTTTATGGGAGTTATCGTTTTATAGGTATATAACCTCTGATCTTTCAACCACTGGCGATTTATAAAAAGCGTATCGTATAGCATTTTAAGTATGAATAAACCATTTGACGATAGGAAGCAGATCCGCACTAAGCTTTAAAAACATATTTTCTTGACTAGAATCTCTTGTAGTGGAGATGTGTTGCATAAAAAAACAGTGCACTTCAAAAACGATCTGTAAATGGACAAAATTATTGTACAATCAATAGAGTGAAAAAGAGACTCAGCGATAAACAGAGTTTCTTAAATTGAAAAAACTGATTGTCAAACCAATTACATAGTTTTGCAATGAATGAAAATTTTTCTGCAAAAAACTTCAATAGAATCTAAAAATGTATAAACCAATCACCTGTGAGCCAACGACATCAGCAGAGGACGCCAAAAAAGCACGAATTTTAGAGCGTTTATATCCTTCATTCAGACATCTGTTTGGGGATGTACGTTATTTTTCTTATTCTCTTTTACCAGAATAAAATAAATAGTTTATGTATCTAATTCTCTTATCTAGATATGTATTCAGTGATTCAATAATCAAATTAAGCAGATACGACTTGACCCATAACTCGGCTACCATAATGTGATTTCGGCACGGTTTTTTTGTATTTTATTTCTCTTACAGTTTTGGAACCAATATACTTCCAGAGCTCTGAAACATCTCAAATTGAAGAAACAAGTAGGCTCAATATTTTGAGATGTTTCCGTGTTCTTCTGGTTAGGAAATATACGTTTATTAATAATATTTCCTAACCAAAAGGACGTGTGGAGCGCGGAATATTGGTTCGAAAGCTGTAAGAGAAACAAAATACAGAAAAACCGTGATAGACTCACACTGTAGTACCAGAGTTACGGGCCGCACCGTATAGAATGTTTGTTATTTTATTTCAAACAAATACAGAAATAAAAAAAATATAACATAAAGATACATTAAATCACTCTATTAGACTCAGTATTGCGTCTTCTTATGTATAGCTTCAGTGTGTATCACTACTTAAACTTGGCCGAGTTGACATAATATCCGTATTAAGTGATTCATCCAATTGATGTTCAGGTGAATAATATAATAGACTTGTCGATTCATCTTCGTTGTTTGTTTCAATGATAATAGAATTATTTATTGGTTGGTATGTGATTACATCAGATACATCTGATATCTCGCGAACAAAATTATTGTTGTTAGATTGTGTAGGGTTTACACAGCTCTCATAATTTTTTGCTAGTTGTTGTTGAGATTGCACTCCATGGCCTGTGCCTATGTGATGGTCATTTATTTGTTCGATATCGATTTTACTTAAAACACACAGAGAAAGTGCAAGTGAAACTTTTCGACGTATATTCGCCGTTGATGATAAACTGAAAATACAAAGAAAATTTTTTTTTTGTAACTGTATGATATTTTTATAATTAATAAGTGTTTATTACATGTTCTGCTCATCTTCTGATAGATGAAATCGATCATCATCATTTTCGTTCTCAGTGTTCATTGTCAGTAAAGCATCCAGTTCATATGGTTCAATTTCGGTAGTGCCACTATATTCTAAAAACGATTAATATGTCAACAGAATTGAATTTTTGTACGATATATTCTTTCAAAAAGGTATCTGTTACACTGTAACGCAGTCTTATCCGTCTCTGCTGTAATAAAATTTTACTTGAAGTACCAAGATTTCTCTTGTAATTTAAATGTTCACCCGTATCATTAAATTTTGTGAGTAATTGTTCGAATGTTTTGTTTTGCTAAAGAAATTATAAAATGATAGATATGTTTGAATCTCATAAAGCTTTGGATACTATAATAGCATATACCATTGACAAGATGATTTTATATTGTTTGTTTTCATTTGCTAATGAATTTAAATATTGAGGGGTTATTCTCGTATCATTTTGACATTGTGATTTTCTACTTAATTGTGATCTAATGGTTGCTCTTGGCTGTTTTGCGTGTGAATTCGGATCTCTATATACTTCAATAATCTATGCAAACAAAACAGAACTCTAGTTATGATTAAACGAACTCAATTCTTTCCACTACCTTGGGAACGAAAACTAAACATTGAGTAGATGTGGTGCAAACAATAATAAATAATGAGGTTAAACTATATGAAAGTTCAACTTGTTCAGGAGGAACAAAACCGACAAGAGCGCCGAGAATGCACGAAATTAAAAATATATATACACTAATTCCAATATATTTCGAATCATTTAGGGCTGGTATAGAAACATGACGTGTTTTCCATGCAAGAAACGAACCATAAATCTATAAATAAGAAAACAAAATATGTATGAAGAAAATAATTGATAATTTGTAGTTTATACACACCATTAATAAACCTTTATGGAGTACCACAAGTACGAACCATAGCGGTAAATTATTACTTTTACATTCTTCTCGATAGGGTACAATTTCAATATCTTGTTTAAACTATAAAATTGAAAAAAAACTTTCTATTTTTATATAGTCATGTGGTCTATATCTCACCTGTACTCTAGAAGATGTCTCATAAATGAGTTCACGATGTAATGGATCAAGTATTTGCCAAGCGGTAAGTAACAGAATATCAACAGTTAACAATAATGCAACCATACTTAACAAACGAAAATCGTGTATTCCCTTAACAGACAGATCAAATATAAAACTTAAAAATTAATGTGTTGATTAAACTTACTCTTTTTGTAATACTGATATTTGTAAATATTGAATGAACTCGCCATGTTTTGCTAAACATCGAACCAAATCCTATTGTAAAACTTATGCACAATAGCCACGCACGTGCCTAGAAAAGATTTACGTCAATTATGAGAAAATACGAGCTCTGGTCACACATTCATACCGGGCATATAATATTCATTAGCCGTTGCTGTATTTGTTTGGGCAATAGTGATGAATTTAACCCATTAAAAATAATACTAATGTATGCTAACATGCAGCCAAACAATATTAAATTGTTTAACGATGGACTCGACATTCGGATATATCTGAAAAGTATATAATCGAGTCTATCCAATAAATTCTACAGTCGTGAGAACGTTACTTGTGAAAGCGATATTGAATGTTGAAGAATAAAAATGACCATGTCATTAATAATCCGAATGAACTAATCGCTGTTATAGAGACGAATGTGTAAAATTTAACATGATGAAATTCGACCGTTTGATTTGTACGATCTCTCGGTGGATAAACTCCTAAAATTACCTGCATTTAGCAATATTCTAGCAGGAAATTTTCAGCATGTTCTTGAAAATTTAATAAATTAAAACTTTTCCAAAAAATAAGCCATTGGAACGTAGGCCTTGGGACAATTTGTTGTTAGTACAAAAAAACATTTCTTGCGCATTCAAAATATTTCCATTTTTGGTGTTGTATAAACACTTTCGAAAACTGAGAATATCTGCCCGTATTAAGACCTTCTGTCTGTCAAGAGTACAAACTTTTTGTAAAAACTCAATAATGGGCTAAGTACATCACCAGATATACCGAGGTGTCTACTATCAAAATTCATACTGATCTGGACTTCGTCGATGATTTCTAATAGCCTAGAATACTTGTTTTTCACAAAGTGAGCTGTGTTTATCTTACTTAATCAATGTAAACATGTTAGAGCAAACATTTTTGATTTAAATCAGATGTTACCCGACTCTAAGTGATGTTTTAATTCAAGGTTATGAGAGTTTTAGTTAAAGCTTCAAAGAATAGGTGTCCTCGGTACCGACGATCAGCAGCGCTTTGGTTGAAAAATTTTTTCGAGTTAGGCTGATATGTGACTGCAACTAACACATCTAATACCTCGCGAACAAAATTATTGGAAATGGTTCAAAAACAGATAGTAAACTAATTATGTCGTAATCAGCCTTTTTCTTTTCTAATATGTATATATACTGTTCGATTAAATAAAAGAACAATTTCTTCATTTCTTTTGCTGTTGATGGCATAGCACTTGTGATGATGCAAACTACTAATACGATGAGTCTGAACACAAATGTACGCTCATATGACAGCGTTTTCTTCTCTGAACGAACGCACGTGAACATATTTCTTCGTACTGCAAGTTTGAAAAGATCACAGTACGTCTTTCTCATATATTTCTGTTCCTAACTTCTTTTGAAAGCAATATTAATCACAAATTAACTCTATTTCTGGTAGGCTGGCCAGTCCGATTCAATCTGAGCGATCAGGTCCTGTGCCGGCCTAAAAGATTATAAGGCGCACGCAATTCAGAAGTTTCTACACTATTTTATTTTTCGCTTAAACACACACCATTCGACGCAGAATTTCACGCTGATCACAAATATCTTATTTAAAAGATTCCTAGTGCGCGTTTTCTACGAGAAAAATTCAAATTCTTGAGATACTCTCCTTTTGCATAAAAACTGAATATCTTCGTCTTTAAAGGTTCTAGAAAATTCGGACGATGTCTTTCGAATTCTATGGAAGGAACGGGTTATAGAAAAGTATTTTTCAGTCTTATAGCTCAGTCCGTGACGGAGTTGAAGATTGTTACTTCGATCGGTCCCGACGCAGAGACCCTTCGTTTGCAGACCCAATTACTCCCACAGATTAACAGATAGTAACTTCGGTCTTTTCCGAGCTACAAAAGTACTGTGGCCGATTTTTGATTTCCCAGCTGACTTCTGGAAGACCAGTTTTCCGGAAACCTCTAAAAATGCGCAAAACATTTTGTAAATAAGTCATGGTTGTAGCCCGCGAAAGTCTGATCAAAATAAGACATCTCCTTGCTCTATACGATCTTTCTTTGCAAAGTTATGGAGTTTACAACAAAAACCCTAAATTTCTTTTTCCTTTTTCTTTCTGTAACTCTGAGATGACAATGAGCATTTAAGGCTTTTGTTGTAAACTCCATAACTTTGCGAAGACAGGTCGTGTAGAGCTGGAAGATGTCTCATTTTGATCAGAATTTCGCGGGCTACGGTTCGACTAGCGCAAGACCGAAGTTTCTATCTGTTAATCTGTGGGAGTAATTAGGTCTGCAAACGAAGGGTCTCTGTGTCGAGACCGATCGAAGTAACAATCTTCAACTCCGTCACGGACTGAGCTATAAGACTGGAAAATACTTTTCTATAACCCGTTCCTTCCATAGAATTCGAAAGACATCGTTCGAATTTTCTAGAACCTCTAAAGACGAAGATATTCAGTTTTTATGCAAAAGTAGAGATTATTTGAAAAAGGAGAGTATCTCAAGAATTTGAATTTTTCTCGTATTTGAATCCAACTCAAGCTGTTGATCACTTGAACCGACCGAAAATCCCGCAAATACGAACAGCTCATTTTGACCCATGCTCGAACGATATCTCATGAGTGCTGTTTTATGAATCGCCCAAAATTCTATCATAACTATTGCTCAACATATTTAATATTCTCCGAAAGTTCGTCCGGATCGAAATAGATTTCTTAAAAGTGGTGCCTTAAAAGTTCAACGTTCGCACAAAGTCTATGTTTTCTCTGCAGTACTACGTTAAGAAGATACCTGATGTGTTCGACAATAGTAAAAAAAAATTTTAATACTTTAGAATACGTTAAAAATGATTTTTTGATTTTTAGCATCTTCTATACTACCAAGATCAAAGAATCCTATAATGGATAAGGCCAAGACTTGTGAGCACTCGCTCATACGGCGTCGAAAAGTATAGCGAATTTCGATGGCTCACAGAATTTCGAAAATTTGAGCCTAAAACAATTTTTCATTTTCTACAATAAAGTTCCATTTATATTATCGCTACTACAAAACACATCGCTGATTGTGTTCTCGTATACAAAAAGAAAAGAAAATATACAAGGAACGAAAAAATAGAAATCCTACAAATTCTTACCGTAAGATTTTGTAAGAAATGCATAAAATTCCTATTTATAGGAATTCTATGGAGTTCTTGCTGTAGGATTTTATAGGATCCTAGAATAGAAATCCTATGAAACCCTGTTATCAGTAGGATCCTATAGGATCTGGTAGGAACCTAGTAGGATTGTTTGATCTCGATAGTGGAATGTACGTGAGTTAAGTAATGAGGATAGTACTTGTGGACCTTGTTCAAGTAAATTTACTTGTCAAATAAAATGTAAGTACTTGAATGACACAATGCAAGCAAATTTACTAGAACACGTTCAACCAAGTACTTGTTCTATTTATTTTTATTTTGTATTTTATACGTATTCTGCAGCCATACCCTACTTTTATAGAGCAAATGCATGCACAGCTACTAAGTGTGTTCAACTCAGTGGAAATATATTAGTTTATTTTATAAGTGTATAACGACTGATATGGTGGTATTTATGTACAACTGGTCAATATAAAAGAAAAGGGTGACTGACTTATCAACGTACTTGACTGAAGCAAGTCAAGTAACGAAACTTGTCAAGTTCTTGCCCAAATACTTGTCAACTGCTTAACTTATCACATATTTTCCAAGTACTTATCAAGTAATCAAGTACTTGTACCAAGTACATCCACTAGGAGAGTTATTAAAATTTTCTAATTTTGAAAAAAATGGAAGTTCTGATTTTAGGCCACAAAACTCACTATACCTCGCATGTTCAGGCGCTAAAATACACTAATAAGCGCTAACACACACTAGTGATGTGAGTGCTGAGACGTTCACATTCATTAAAAGCAAAAGAAAATTAGGATGAATTGACACGAGTTATTTTTTTACATGTACTCATATGTTAATGTACAATAATGCGTTCGAACACCTAATTTTTTAATGCGTGTGAAGCGTTGAGGCGTCTAAAAAAGTTTTCAGTCATTATAAAGCATAAGAAATTAATATACTTCCTGTTACATAAATAAACGCATTCGCACGCATTAAAAATAAAATAAAACTTTTAACGCATTTGTTCCGAAATTTCGAAACATTTCCTCGTGTAACTGAAAGGAATTATAGTATCGTTTTATGCTTACCATGCCACATAACCGGATCCAAATCTAACAATTCATCGTCTTCAGCAAGAAATATTTTTACTAATTTCAAACTGCATTCGTCTCCTTCATAACATGGTATTTCACATAATTCATTTGTTATTCGGCAAGCTAAAAACAAGAGAATAATAATATGTGAAAATTGTTTGTGTACACAATGTCACATACTCACCAACATATTGCTCGACAAGAATTTCACCTACACGTTCGCCATCAGAATATCGAACTCTACCCTAAAGTAACTCTTCAATATTAAAAATAATTGTTTTCTCTGTCGTCTTAGAACTCACCGTTACACCATAAAAGTCTAGTTTTTCTACAGCCGCTTTGAATAGTGATGTCCATCCGTGACTGAAAAATTTTGAAGTTAAATTATAATGATTTTCATCTTTTGTATTTAACAACTGTTGAAATGCTAAGGCTACACTCCATAAACCATCATATGCATATGCGTGAAAAAAACCAGATGAATTAATCTTTTTTTTATATTGAGAAATATAATCAGATAAATATGTAGCGGAAATCTGAAAATAAAAATAAAAGTTAGAATCGATTTATTAATTTAATTTACATCACCGATTACTTTCATATCAGTGTTTGATTTATCTTCGATGGACATTTCTGGTATACGGGTATGAAATGTACCATTAAGTGCTCGAACTAATTCGTCTATCGAACATTTTGTACTATTTGATTTCCACCAATTTAAATCATCGTGAAATCCCAATAATAACCATTGATAACGAGCTCCGTACAATTTTTTCCGTGCAACCTACTTACAAAATAAGAAACTTTGCTTTTATAGCAACACTTCATACAGTGTGGAGACATATCCCGATCGGGATATACTCCCAATCGGGATATATATCCCGATTGGGATATCATTTTTTGCAGCAAAATTTTTTTTATATCCCGAACGGGATATAGTTTGAAATTATATCCC